AAAGTTGAGAATTTAGAGGGTTAAAATGTTGTGGGGTTGTTAACCAATGTCATAAAACAGCATGTGTGTTACTATTACATGAGAAACTATGTGTTCTGTAAGCCTTCACCTGAAGTACAATAAAATATTAAAAAAAAAAAGAAAAAACAAATCAAATGACGCATTGCATTGGGCAAATTTGCTGCAAAAGACCTCTTTAAAGTGTTAAAAAGGAAAGATGTCACTTTAAGGACTAAGATGCGCCTGATCCAAGCCATGGTGTTTTCAATTGCTTTATAAGCATTCAAAAGCTGGACAAAGAATAAGGAAGACTGAAGAAGAATTGAAGCCTTTAAATTACGGTATTGGCAAAGAATATTGACTATATCATGGACTGCCAGAAGAACAAACAAATCTGTCTTGGAAGAAGCACAGCTAGAATGCTCCTTAGAAGCAAGGATGGCAAGACTTCATCTCACATACTTTTGACATGTTGTCAGGAGGGACTAGTCCCTGGAGAAGGATATCATCCTTGGTAAAACAGAGGCTCAGCAAAAAAGAGGAAGACCCTCAAGGAGATGGATTGACACAGTGGCTGCATCAATGGCCTCAAGCATAACAATTGTGAGGATGGCACAGGGTCAGGCAGTGCTTTGTTCTGTTGTACACAGGGTCCCTATGAATAAGAGCCACCCCAAAAGCACCTAACGACAACAATCTTTACCCTCAAGGAGCCCTGGTGGTGCAGTGGTTAATGCACTCAGTTGCTAACCAAAAGGTTGGCAGTTCAAACCCACCAGCTGCTCTGGAGGAGAAAGTTGTGGCAATCTGCTTCTGTAAAGATTACAGCCTTGGAAACCCTAGGTGGCAGTTCTACAGGGTCACCACGAGTTGGAATTGACTAGAAGACAGTTGGTTTCCTTAACTCTCAGAGATAACCAGTTTCCTATATTTAGCATTAATTATTTTAATGATAATATTACTGCTTGTGTATATATCCCTTAACAGTATGTTGTTTAATTTTGCCTATTTACCAACTTATTTCTAATTTTTAATGATTATCTGAGAAATTTTAACGTTGTTAAAATTTTGTTTTAACATTCTATTTTAACTTAAATTATAAAATTTATAAGTATCTTCCCCCTTCTTCGAAACATTGTAACCACATGAGAACATAACTCCAATTATCCCCTCCTTACTTAATTTCTACTTTTGTGAGTACTTTAGTTCTCGATTTTTAACCTTATATATTAGATACTATTGTTTTGCCCAGTCAGCATTAGTTTAGATAGGCCCTATCTTTTACCATTTTCTGGGCTCAGCATTCCTTCTTGCATCTTAGACTTTCTTACTAGGATCATTTCCTTTTTTCCTGAAATAATCCTTTAGAAATTCATTTAGTAAGGATCTGTTGGTAATAAATTTTCTCCATTTTTGTTTGTCTGAAAAATATCTTGTTTGAACCCATGTTCTTCAAATATGTTTTTGCTACCTCTAGAGTGTTAGGTTGGAATTTAATTTCTTTCAGTGTTTTTATTCAGTGGTTGTAATGTCAGCTATCAATTTGTCATTTGTTTGCAGACAATCTGTTGTTTCTTTCTAGCTGATTTTAAGATGTCTTTGTCTTTGATGTTCAGCATTTTGACTATGATGAGTGATGTGTGGGTTTATTTTTGTTCATATTGCTTGGGATTTATTGGGCTTCCTAAATCTGAGGAGCAGTGTCTTTTGCCATTTCTGAAAAACCCTAAGCTATTAACCTGAGCTATTGCTGTTTCATTCTTTCTGGAGTCTTTTTTGTACTTCATATTAGACGTATGCTAGATCATTCTCTTACTGTTTCTTCCTTACCTCCTATTTTCATTTTCATGTTTTCTATTTTTGTCTTTGTACTCCATTATGAGAAGTTTCTTTACCTCTGTCTTCCATTTAACCTGTGCTCTTTTCAACTCTATCTAATATGATGTTAAATGCATAAATTGAGTTTCTAATTTAATTATTGTTTTTTTTTTTTGAGAAATTGATATTTTATATAATCTGGATCAATTTTGATAGTTACTTGTTCCTTTATTTACTTTCAATTTCCTCATTTTTTAAAATATTAAACATACTTGAAATTCTGTATCTCATCTCTCCAGTATGTGCTATCTTTATAGGTATGATCCTGTAATTTGTTTCCTTCAGCTGACTTTCATTCATGGTAGCTTATTTCCTCATGTATTTAGTGGGGTTTTTTGTTTGTTTGTTTGTTTTTATTGTAAGGTCATATTCTTTGACATTTTTTATATATGGGAATTCTTTAAGATCTGAGTTTAGAATATATTTCTCCCAAGAAGTTTTGTGCTTGCTTCTATCAGCCTAGGACTAATTTAAACTAAATTTCCAGCTTGTGGATTTTCTGGCCACACAGATAATGTAAGTTCTTGCCCCAAATCTGCATGAGTGGGGGCTTGTGCTTAGGAATTATTCAGGGGAGACTTTTTTTTACCTACTCTACCAGAGCCAAAATCAAATCACTGATTACCTCTCTTAGGTTTATTTCTTGCTTTTACCCATAAAGGTTCCTTGTTTACCATTTGTGCCTGATGAAACAACATATACACTCAGAGCTAATTAGGCTGCAGTGCTCTTTTACCTCAGTGCATTCACCCTCCATGGAATTCCCTTAGTTTCCTGCCAACTCAGCTCTACATTAGATTATATTACGTTAAATATATAATTATATCTCCAGCATTTACAATTGTGCCATAGTGGTAGGAGTTTCTGTCAACATCTGGTATGCTATGTTGCAAAAAAAAAAAAACCCATAAATTAATTAAAATATGTTTTACTGTAAGAATCAACAAAGTAATATGTAGAGAAGCTTCTCTACATATTACTTTGTTGATTCTCATGTGTTTTTTTGGCAACATGGCATACCAGATGCTGACAGAAAGTAATATGTAGCTTATCTAAGAAGCCCTTGTGGCACAGTAGTTAAAGCACTCGGCTGCTAACCAAACGGTCAGCCAATGGAATCCACCAGCCGCTCCGTGGGAGAAAGATGTGGCAGTCTGCTTCCATAAAGAGTTACAACCTTGGAAACCTTACGGAGTAGTTCTACTCTGTCCCATAGGGTCGCTATGAGTTGGAATTGATGCAATGGCAATGTTTTTTTTTTTTAGTGGGTAGCTTATCTCATAAAACTTGCAGCATACCTATGTATTATAACTCTTAAATATTCGATTGGTTAAGTGCCCCCCCCCGCCATAATCAGAAGATACGTAGAGTAAGAGAGAAAGTAAATGATATGGTAATATTGAATATTAGTTAATAAAAACTGAAAATAGGAGTCACTGTTGTAAAATTAAAGAAATGTGTAAGATGCTTCTTTTGATATCTCTGTCTAGGAAAGTGTTCAGGATTTAAGAAAGAGAATCGCAGTACTTGACTGCCAATTGCGAAAATCAGAAATGGCTTGTAAAACTTTTGAAGCATCCACTAAAAGACTTCTTCATTTTGTAGAGGTAAATTTTCCTGTTATTATTATGCTATGTTCATTTTTAAGAAGCAAATAGGCAACTGGCATATAGATAAATGCCACACTCTTTCGTGACTAACGAAGCACTCTCTGCGCTCAAAACAGCAATGCTGGCCTACTGTCAGATTTAAAATTATACAGATAATGAATAGACCAGCTAACATTAAACAGATTATTAAGAGAAATAATTGAAACAGGGTAACATGATCCCAAATAGTCACTATGTTTGGGAGGTTTTTTTAATAATTTATTTTATTTTTGTTGTTGTTGAGAATATACACAACAGAACATACACAATTCAACAGTTTCTACATGTACAGTTCAGTGACATTGATTATTTTCTTCGAGCTGTGCAACCATTCTCATCCTCCTTTTCTCAGTTGTTCCTCCCCCATTAACATAAACTCACTGCCCTGTGAGTTTCCTGCCTAATCTTTAGAGTTGCTGTTGTGTTTGATCCCATATAGATAGTTCTTAAAAGAGCACAATGCTCAAGGCAGACATTCTTTACTAGTTAAGGTAAACTATTGTTTGGTTTTGATGTTTGGTTTTAATGAGTGTTTTCCTAAAAATCTTGATACTATGTAAATATTATTCTATAAATATTTACCCCTTAAAGAAATATATTTATATGTATTCTTGCGTAGGATTACATGTTAGTGTAATTGATTTTTTTTTCCTCACGTAACAGAAACACTTGTTTAATCAACTGGGACATGGGGTTTGTAAATATTAATTAAGCAAGAAAAGACATAAAACCATCAAACTTACCTGTCTTCTTCACTATTTTGTTTGTCACTAGGCTTTTCAAGAAGTATTTTCTGATAATTCTGCTTCTTTATCAAATTTAAGGTAAGAATATTTAAGTGCTTTCTGCAGAGTATGACCACTGATTAAATTTTTTATCTGATTATTATGATTAAAATACTAAAATATCTTAAATGATCTTAAGATGCTACATATTCTATTGGATGTCATTGTTTAATATCTTGTGGAAATAGGTGTGAGGACACATTGTTTTGGTCCCATCTCTGCAAAGGAAATTTGGGGGTATTTTGCCAGTCATTAACCTTATGGAGTCCCTGGGTAGTACAAACAGTTAATGTGCTCGGCTGGTAATTGAAAGGTTGGAGGTTTCAGTACACCCAGAGGTGACTCGGAAGAAAGACCTGGCAATCTACTTCCAAAAAATCAGCCATTGAAAACCCTATGGAGCACAGTTCTATTCTGACACACTTGAGGTCACCATGAGTCAGACTCGACTGGAGGACCTGGTTTGTAACATTTACTCAGTCCTCCAGGAGTCCCTGGATGGCACAAACAATTGAGCATTCAACTACTAGCCAAAAGGTTAGCGGTTTGAAACACTTAGAGGTACCTAGGAAGGCAGGCCAGGTAATCTGCTTCCGAAAGGTCACAGCCTTGAAAACCCTGCGAAACAGTTTTACTTTGCACACATGGGGTCGCCATGAGGAAGAATGGACAGGAAGGCAACTAACAATAATTCAGTCCTTTATCATTAAAATGGAGGTAGAAATCATCTATCATATCTTTCTCAGGAATTCTTTAAAGATGAGATTAACCTGAAGTTCTTTAAACATGTTTTTGTTATTGGGTGCTGTCGAGTCAATTCCTACTCAAAGCATTCCTATAGGACAGAGTAGAACTGCCCCGTAGGGTTTCAAGGCTATAATCTTAATGGAAGCAGACTGCAACATCTTTCTCCCGCAGAGCGGCTGGTGGATTTGAACCGCTAGCATTTCAGTTAACAGCCAAGCACTTAACCACTGTGCCACCGGGGCTCCTTAAAGTAAACGTACTGTGTATGAATAAAAGTTGCTAGTCACAAGTTCACTGCTAAGGGTCATGGTCAACTCAGCAGATCAATTGTTAAGGTAAACAGAATTTTGCAAAAACATATTCATACAGTTTCTTTCATTTTTATCATTCAGCAGATATAAATAAAAAATATATTTAGAGAATATATCTTGTTATTATTCACAGTATGTTTCAGATTTCAAATTTCTTACTAGGAGCTACAAATATACTAATAAGATTTATTTACTTCAAACCATGTGTTAATGGTCTTTCTGATATATGATGAAAAATATAAACAAAAGAAACATTCCTGTGTATGCATGTTCATAGTAATTTTTTCTTCAACTTGTAGTAGCTGCCACTAGTTCTTGATATGTTTTCTACTTCTAGCAATGTACATTTGGCAGAAACATAAGAAAACTATACCCTTTACTTTGAAAACAACAGTTCAATAAAAGAAGATGATTCATTGTATTCTTGTTATATTGTAGGTTTCCACATAACATTTTTTGAACTGTCTATAGTTGTTCATTTTTAAGCTCATTTAATATAATACTTTATCTCTTATAACTAAGAAATCTGACTTTTTTATTATCATCCATTCTGTTTATAATTATGCATATTCCATGATGATTATTTTCAATAAGAATGTTAAAATACTCAGCAGTCATACTCCTTGTATGGATTAGGTGTCTCCTCCCTCCCCTGATCTCCTTGTGACCTTGACCAATAATTACAAAGTTTTGGCATTAAAAATGACTGTTTAAAAGCCAGAACTTGCCCTTGCCTTAAACTGCTTCATGGAAAAAGGCAACTTTAAAAAGCTACATTAAGCAACTTTTCACCAAGTCTTAAAAAGTTAAACACTAGTACAATACATTTCAGTCTTTTTAATATACCATATCTTCTGTAGTCGATATTGGTCTTGGTCATTTTACACAGAGTAAAGGCTATGTATTTGAATTTGAGAATTGATGATGTAGTTTCTCTTTATGAATTAATACCATCATGCTTAAGAAGATAAATTGTACATAATCCTGGTTTTATCATCAATTTAAAATTGTCTCTTTTCAAGTAAAAGTTTTAGCATAATGGTTTTTTGCAGTAAGACCTTGCATTCTTAATTATACAAGAATGCATTCATGTCAGGTAATGTTTGCATTTAAATAAAGTGATATAAGGGTGCTAGGGTGTTTTATATTTAAGGTCAGCAAGTGTAAGTGTGCAAGAGATCATTTCAGAAGTAAATACGTAGGAGGCGGGGCCAAGATGGCAGAGTAGTCAGATGCTTCCGGTGGACCCTCTGACAACAAAGACCCAAAAAAACAAGTGACTTAATTACATATGACAGTCTAGGATCCCTGAACATCTAAGGCACAGTTGAGGAACCATACTGAGTGACAGGGAGAAGGAGAGATTATTGGGAAGGAGAGATGGTTCCAAAGCAGCGAGGAGTTGCCAGACCTGAGCCGGCGAGAGCCTGAGCCCTTCAGGCCTGATGGGCTCGGGGGTGAGCAGTGAGGCAGACGAGTGGCGGTGCTCAGGAGATGTGTTTTCTGTACTGGGAGAGACCCAGTGCGAGAGAGCCTACTCAGCCACCCAGAACCAGTGAGAAGCAGCCCTCAACAAAAGACAAGTACTTGCATATGGCCTACCATGTGGATCAAAAACACCTCCCTTACAGAAAAAGCTCTCTCCCATTTACCTCCCCACTCCCTCCTCTGCACTGGGTCCCAGATCAGCTTCAGTAACTGCCAAGTCCCCTGGGCTGGAAGTAGGATCCATCAAACACCCTGAGCCATTCTCCCAGCTTTGGAGAGTGAACAAATTAACAAACAAGGGAAAAAATAAACTGGTAGCTCCCCTAAGCCAGGAACCCAGAGAAGGCACAGCTCCTTTGCCTAGGTACAGGCATAAAGGATCCATGGACTTTGAGTGCTTTTCCCCCTACATAGACTTGTGTGGGCCCATCTCAACAGCGTAGGCCCTCATTACCGCAGTACAACACGGTATATACTGGAACTCCAACTTGAATGGTTTCACCTGTGAAGTGCCAGGTTCTTGACATTTGACACTGCTCTGCCCATTAAGCAGGGTCTTCACCTACCCACATCAGCGGCCTGAGGACTGGTGGCTCCACCCACGCCACCTAGCCACCTGAGATAAGGGCCCAAGAATAAGAGGTGCCCCCTAGTCCTTACAGCCAACAGCATTAGGTGCTCATAGTCCAGCTGCGAAACCCACCCACCTATGTGCTGTAGGGAGCAGGGACATGCCTTCCTCCTGGACACTCGGGGGTGGCCGTCAGCCCCCTGCCTTGCTCAGAGTGTATCCCTCTGATGCAGCCAGATACCTGTGCTTACACCAATCACCCATGCCTGTCTAGGACTGTAAGTGAGAGCCTACACCACACACTTGGTGGCTATCTACCTGGGCACCTGAGCTGAATCTGTATACGAGGAGTGGGCGGGCTCCTGAGCTCACATACCTAGTAACAGATCTAACCACTTGGTGACAGGACATCAGAGCTTCAGAGCTGCCAATAATCAAACTAGCTCATATAAGCAACCTATTTGGGCATACCAAAACAAAACAAGAAGCTAGGACACAGTAAGCAAACATAAAATAAATAAATATAATAACTTATTGATGGCTCGGAGACAACAGTCAATATCAAATCACATAAAGAGGCAATCCATGATGGCCTCAGCAAGCTCCCAAAATAAAGACTCTAGAAATTCTCCAGAGGAGGAAAATTTCTTGGAATTACCGGAGGCAGAATACAAAAGATTAATATACAGAACTCTTCAAGAAATCAGGAAGGAAATTAAGCAAAAAGCAGAACATGCAATAGAGGAAATTAAAAAGATTGGAAAAGAGCATAATGACAAATTTAACAGGCTGCAAGAATCCACAGAGAGACAGCAATCAGAAATCCAGAAAATTAACAAAATTTCAGAATTAGACAACTCAATGGAAAGTCATAGGAGCAGATGTGAGGCAATGGAAGTCAGAATTAGTGAGATTGAAGATAAAGCACTTGACACCAACTTATTTGAGGAAAAATCAGATAAAAGGATTAAACAAAATGAAGAAACCCTAAAATTATGTGGGACTCTATCAAGAGGAATAACCTACGAGTGATTGGAGTACCAGAACCGGGAGGGATCACAGAAAATACAGAGAGAATTGTTGAAGATTTGTTGGCAGAAAATTTACCTGATATTGTGAAAGATGACAAGTATTTTTCCAAAATGCTCATTGAACCCCACATAAGGTAGATCCCAAAAGAAAGTCACCAAGACATATTATA